CTCTCTCTCTCTCTCTCTCTCTCTCTCTCTCTCTCTCTCTCTTTCTCTCCTTCTCTTTCATCCACGCAACGAATGATGCGAAGAAAACTAGGTACGCGCGCGCGCGCGCGATTTCGAGATCGATCGCGTCCGATTCGGATAGAAAGCGGAAAGAAAAAGCGAAGAGGCCGCGCGAAAGCAGGTGTCGCGTGTCGCGGCTCGGCGGAGAATTCGTATCGATCTTTTTCTCCTTTTTTCCTTTCCTTTCTTCTCTTCTTCTACGTTTTTTTTTTTTGTTTTTTTTTTTACCTATTCGTTCGTCCATCGTTGTCGCGCGACGTTTCTTAAGGAGAGGAGGCGATCGAGCGATCGAGCGATCGAACGATCGTGAGATACGTACCCGTGCTCTGGAAGATATCAACGTGTGATTGTTCATCTGAGCGGGTGATTCTATGGTTTTCTGATTGGTCAGGTCGGGATTCAACGCGATGATCGCATCTATCTCGACCTAAAACCGAGACGAATTTATTATACGATATTACGAATTTCCTTTGCTCTCCCGATACAATATGTATACCTCTTTCCCTTTCGTCTCTCCTCTCTCGAACCATTCTACGGTAACGGTGCGTTGTTCCCAATTAATACCCGAAACCACTGCCGAATGAACACGACCTGAAACAAAAATAATCGCAAACTTTTTTATCCATCCATTCTCTTTGCTTACGCATGTGCGATACGTACATAACGATACGTACGATTTGTAAGCAATTCGCGAATTGAACGCGAAAGTTAGAAACTCCCGTCCGAATGAAATTGACAAGAGTGAAATTTAAATCGCCGTGTTCGAGTCGAGCGTTTGAAAAAAAGGGAAAAGCGCGCCGCCTTCGATCGGGGAAGGAGATTTTTACCCGAATTATTCCCATCGAAAAGAATTATTCGATCGAAGGTTTATCAAGTCGGGGAGATATCGGGCGAGGAAACGTGTTCGTAGATGACGTAAGATTGGATAAAAGGTATGGTTGGCCGGAGTAAGAATCTCGAGACGAGCGTCCTTATAAGGATGCAGCGCCCACGTGCAGCGCCGTCGCGAATCGACCACGCGCGTCCCTATGCCGCTTTCCATTTCGATTTTCGATCGGCAGAACGAACACTCGGCTTCTCTCGCAGGGAGAATTTGACCGCGAAATGCGAACGATTCCCATCGATGGATGGTGGGATCGCGGAAAGGAGGGGGATTTGCCCACTTGTTGCGTCGCCCCGCGTCGCGTTGCGTTACGTTGCGTTACGTACGAGTAACGGATTTGTTTCGAATCGTTTCGAAAAATAAATGAATAAATAAGCAAAGGAAACGTGACATGAAGGAAGCGCGAAACATTCGTAATCGCGTTATTTTACGAGAGAATCTCCGCACTCGATAATCCGGATTCGTTTCGTTAATCGATCCGAAACTGCCCTTCGATCGGATGGAACAGACGAAAGGTATTTCTATTTACGCGGACGAGCGTAAGCTGTAAATGTTATTACCGAGATTAGGTGAGCGCATATCGAGATGCATATATTACTAGGGACAACTGTTGACGGATCGAGTCATTGGAACAAGAGTAAAGCAACGAAAAACGTGAAATGAAAATCGCGAACATCGGTGCTGTCTCCTTTCTTGGCGAACGGTCTGAGTCATTCGACCGCGCCACGCCGTACCGCGCCGCATCGGGAGAACGCGAGCAAATAGAATTGCTTCCTCTCGATTTCTTCTTGGTCCGAAACACGAGCTGGATCGATCGAGAAAACGAGCCAAGTGTTCGCGTGCTACTCGTTAGATAGCGCCTCCTTTTCTCGGATTTGCGCGCGAATCGGCGGAAAAGGTGAACCGAAAAAAGGTTCGTCGAAAATTTTCCAGAGGGTCGTGTAACATTTAGAGCGCGTAAGAGCGGACGCGATTAATGACTCGAATGAGGTGTTGCCGACGATGGTAGCTCTCGTTCTGGTCTCGTTGCACGCGTCGAGCGCGAGAAACGCACGGTGAAAGGATATTTATCCGTTCATCTTTCGACCGAATCGAATCTCGTTCCTTGTTGCACGCCAAGCAAAAAGGCGACAACGAATTGGTAGAAAAGTACCGCGTGGTTTGTCGCACCGGCGAGGCGCGACAACAATGCGACGCACATTCGTCGATTGATAAATCTATCTGCACAAAATTTTTATCTCGATCGAAGAAAATAAAAAATCGACATATACATTATAGATTTACTCGAGGTTCGAATAATTTTCCCTTCAAAATTAATATACGATAATAAATACGTTGTTATTTTTATTCCAAATCTTCTTCGATAAATAATCTTGTAAATAAAAATTAAAAAATTATTCGACGATCGTTGAGATGATGTTTCTTCTTATTCCCTATTTGCGTTTTAATCCCCTCCTCCGCTTATAGCTTGTTTCCTTCGCTTACCTGTCGTCGACTGTAGATCGATAAGTGAATAACGAATAACAAAAACGAAGAACGAATAATAAAAACTTAAGGAATGATAATGTCCAATATTGTCCTCCCCGCTACATACTCTAAGTATCCGTGTATGGAATTTCTCTACTGATACACGCGGGTCGAGCTTAAATAAGGAAAGAAAGAAAACAAATATGGCATGTGAAAAGGTTAGTATCGAAATGCAAGGACAACTGAATACCAGAGATTTGATACCAGTATTTTAATAATGATATTACGACGATAAAATCTAATCGAAACTACCGAATACATTACCGAGCCGAAATAATTCCCCCATATTTTTTCCAATTTTCATTTTTCCCCTATATAATAATTTCTGCGAAACTTTGCGCGACTTGTAACTCGATCAATGCTTGTATACTTTATAAATATATATCGAAGCAATTGTCCACAAATTCCACGAGTGAAGTTATCGAAAACAATAGAATTTTGTTATGTGTAAAAATGAAAATTTTATTTCCCTTTCATATTCCGGCATTATATCTACGAAATCGTATTGATGGCAAAATATTATAAAAATTTCAAACAAAAGTCGAGTAATCGACAATAATTACTTATTAATCGATATTTTCGTATAAAGATATGCATTAATTCCGCATTTTTATAGTTTCACTTTTATAAATATGAATTTACGATCGAAAAATATATCGATATAATGCCGATATTTTGCGTTTCGATTCAAATTCTTGATTCGTATATCAAGATTATTCGATCGATTCTTTACATTTATCGCGTATATCGTCCATTACATATTTATATTCGAATAATTCGTCGATTCAAGGATGCGGCTGTACACGCAACGTGCAGCGGCTGCGTGGTCCGATAGGAGTAGGATGTGCTCTGTTCGTTTGCTCGATTCAGGGGAAATACATAATACATTATACAACGTAGTATCTACGATTATTCTCGCGTTTTTTCGCGAGAATGGTAATGATCGTACCAATGTTTAATTCGTGATGCATCGGTGTTCGATTAAATCTTATGCGAAAATGATTTAACATTTGTCATAATGGGAGAGATACAATTACTCCGTATATCGATTGACATTGAAAAAAAAGCTGAAAAATCAGACCGATTGATCGAAGAGATATCTCCTCGCAATCGTGTTCGATTTTCGTTGGCACTAGCCGCGAAGCTTTGCGCACGCGATCGGCTGTCTGAATATGTCTAAAAATACTTCCACGAGATACGTTACTCACCGTCCGTCCTTTTGATATTTATACTGTAGCCGGTCTCGATGTTGTACATGCGGAGGTCCATGGTCATTTAGTCGCGTTCTCACACCGTGGTTAATATTATAAGACGACCGGTTTTTCACCGGATCGAACACAACGACGACGATGACGACGACGACGACGACGACGACGACGACAAAGACGGCGACAATATGACACGACGTTAACGATGTTGACGTGACGAAAATACAACGATTCTCGCGAGGGAAGCCTTACGAGGACCCTGCAATTTGCGAGACTTTCAAATCTGACCGTTGACAGTTACGTCTGTGTTCGCGTTCAAAATCACGCGGCTGTATCGCGTTCCTCTCCACCGTTGTAGCTTGTACTTTTCCCTTCCCGTCACCGTTGTTACCACTGCTCCTGTTACGATTGCCGTTCGGTTTTATTTTCCTCGTTTCCCTTTTCTTTGTTCCTCTGCTCTATCGCTTCTATCGGACTGTTAGTCCTTTTTGTCGCAATGTTAACCGCAGTCGATGTCTTGCTGTCGTTGTCCACCACTTCTCGCCGTTGTGTATTTTCACGTCAGGGACGTCGCCGATTGTCCAAGGCACGCCCGTTTTCGCGAATTCTCGTTTAAATGATACGACGTGTAATCCACGAGACGGCACACTCTCTTTCCACGAATTTGAAAGTACACCAAAACGAAGACACAACGATTCGAAATTACATTCGGAGATTCGTTGAATTTCACGAACGAGATGTTTCCGGGATTTTGTGCCGGGATACTGCCAGTGTCCGTTATTAATAACGGAAAGACTGCGAGCGCCAACTTTCGGTCGACTGCTATCGTCGCGACATCTGTCACGATGCGTCTTCTTCTCTTCGATCAATTGCATCGTTCTCCCATCTATTGGCCGTTTTCGCAATTACCGGCCATATTTTTAACACGTTACATACGTACATACGAGAAAATTAGACGAAAATAAAAATCAAATTATGAAATTGAAAAAATAAGAATTGAACTTTAATTGATTGATAAATAAGTACAATATTTTTTTGAATCGACCATTTATCGTTTTATATAATAAACGTAATACACAACGTATGATCTTTCGATACTTTAATCACTTCGAATTATTGTGGAAACACGGCTTGTCGAACTAACGTTTTCAATTCGTTCAAATTCAAATCTTTCCATGTTTCGAGCCGCTCGGCGATTCTTTTCAACCTGAAAACAAACTCGTAACTATCGATTTTTCCGCGATTCCGCGAAAAATATGCAAGAATTTTACAAATAATAAACTATTTTACTTATCGTGATGATTATATATACTGGATGGTAATTCGTGTCGTTTCATCTTTTCAAATATCTACGATCAAATCAATTTTATCGTTACGTGTTTCGTACATTGTCGAACATGTGAATGAAATACCTCTAATCCTCGTTTAACGATGTCTTCGTCCAATTCCGCGAGTCTCGCCACGTAATGCGCGAAACTGCGTGTTGTGCTACCATTAATCAATCGGTAAAGGAACGCCAACGATTCATCTTCGTCGATCGTGTATTCAAATGTCTGTACGATAAAAAGGAAATGGAAAAAGAGAGATAGGGAGATAGAGAGAATAAAATCACTCTAAACAATATTTTTAACAAAGCGACAAATCGAGATTCGTCATTTTTACTTGAATTTCAATTAAAGAAATTTGGGGAAGTAGTGCAAGTACGCCATACGCATGCGTCGCGGCAAATACGTGAGGACAATCCGAATCTCTTTCAGCGAATGTGTTCAGTATAGCCGCTACCAACGATAATCCACTCATTTCGGACGTTCCTCTATCCAGTTCGTCCGTTATCACGATTGAATCCGAGGTGGATGCGTGTAGAGCCACGTTGATCTGAAATTCAAATCGTTCTCGTTTCGACCCTTTTCTCTTCTCGATTCGAAAGAATAGAGATATTTCTTTACCTGTCGAAGATTCTGTAGAAACGAGCTCGCGTTCAACCCGATACTTTCCGTGTTCGACATTTGAGTCAAGATACGAGAAACCGTGCCTATAGTCGCGGATCTTGCAGGAACGTAACAACCTATGTGAGCCATGAACACTATAAGGCCAATCTGCTTTAGATATACACTCTTGCCACAAGAATTTGGCCCTGTTATAACTTTGATCAAACTCCTTCCATTCCCGGAACGTATATCGTTCGGCACGAACGTGGTCGCACATTCCATCAACGGGTGTCGTCCTTCGACCACGTCTATGATCTTCGACTCTGTTACGTTTGGCTTCGTGTAATTATAATCACGCGCCACTTTGTAGAACGCCAGTAAACTGTAATCGTTTCGATCATTTAATGTTAATCTGTCTCATTGACATTTGTCTTCGAACGAACGTTGCCCAATGATCGCTTACGTGTCTAACTCGGCACAGAGTTGGATCGAGTTTAAAATCATTCCCATGTGTTTCTTCACATAACGTATCAACTTTTGCACGATGTGATTCTGTCGAACGGCTATTTTCAATATAATGTCACCCACGGTCTCGTCTAGCTCTGAAACAATCGAATCGAATGAGAATGAACGAATGAACAAAGATCCCACGGTTTGCTCGTTTCTTCGAGAGACGAAAATTTACCCACCTTTCGCCGAAGGACTTTTGTAATAATGCACCCGATTGATGCTGAATTTGAATTCCAAATTTGGAAAAGTAACGTCCCCGGGTGGAGTCGGATCCCATTCGTTTATCGCCAATACGTAGCCAATGTTTGGTAGATACAACATATTGCAACCGGTTACGGAACGTGGAAGATGTTCCCGCATATCTTTTTCCGCCATTTGCGTGAGCAGTTCGGGCAAAGTGTGTCGAACGTGGTTCACTGTGGATCGATTCACACAAACGTGTGAATGTAATTAGAAATCGGCGATATATGAAAAAAAAAGAAGAAAAGGAAAAAAAGATTTTTCACGCACGTTCGTCCAACAAAGGATCGACGTTCGGTTTAACCACGAGCTTCCTTTCTCGTCTGCTCTCACCAAAATCCACTATATACTCGATAAAGTATTTGACATATTGTACCTCGATCGTGACACTTTCGGCGATTCGTTTGAACAGCTCTATTCTTTCAGCGTGTTCCTCGCAAATGTCAGCTATACAAATTACGTGGGAGATAGTCTGAAAGGAGGAAATGATTAATAGTGCGCGAACAATGCTAATAAGTAATGGCGAGAGAAAGATTGAAAGAGAAAGAAGGGAATGGAATTGAACCTTGTACAATTTATACCAATTGGATGGCTTTGCTTGAGGTCCGGAACAACAGATCAGCACAGTGTTGGTCAAGCGGTACACGTGACGCAAGCAGGAGGTTAAATTTTCAACGACGCTTTGATTGTCGAGATCCAGGAAAAATTCGATCACGTTTAGTCGTTGCTCGAGCATCGTGATGTTTCGTGTCGGGTGATGCAGTGTCTTCCTACGAGTGTAAATATATATAAAAATGAAACGAACTCTTTTACGTTATTGCGTTACGTATACATAAGCAATGCATTTTTACCATAGAAATTGAACACCTGGTCTTGAATGGCAATAACGGTTAAGCAGCGAGAACAGACTAACCCCTTTCATCGTCGTGATCGTTTCGCCAAATTTGAAGAGACTCGGGTGATCCCTTGCTTGAACGATGTTCAATGCTTTATAACTATCTTCGTCCATCGTGACTAAGTCTCGACTTCGTGTCGCGAAAGTATAAAGAATTTGTGAGATAAAAAGAATCATCGTTGTATTAATCGAGAATGATAAATAATTGATATGAACTTACAGGTTGATGTAATTCAAAGATACGAAGGACGCTCTTCCAGAAGGATCTAGAGCGATATTATTCCAGTGTTTGTCGAGGAATAACAAAAGCGAACCCAAAGCGTGAATCATTGCGCAGCACTTGAAATTCAATATACTGTTTAAGAAAGTCAATCTGTCCATGCTGTTCGCGTTTTTCGGTTCTGATTCGACGCGAAGACATCTCACTCTGTGGGAGCATCGTTCGTAATTATGTTCCTTTTTACAGGTCATTTTCAACACGGTGTTATGTACGCTTTCGAACGAATTCGATTCTTCGTTCATTGTTTGCGCCATTAAAATTTGTTTGATCACGTTCGTGAAAGAAGATGGCGCAGCACCGTTCACGAGCAAATAACGTGGTAAACATTGTTTGTATAGCGCTTTTGTCACATCAAAACGTTCAAAGTCGTCTATCGTATCTTCCAGCACGAATAATTCGGATGTAACGACATTGTAATAAGCGGCGCCAAGACGATTGTTGTTCCAAATCATCGATAAAATTATCTGTTACAAAGAAAGAGAGACGATTCGAATGAAATTAGGAAATTAGGATTAAGAATGAGTTGTTCGAGGAGAATTCGACTCGTAATTTGAAAAAAAGAAAAAAAGAAAAAGAAGAAAATAGAATAGAAATTTGAACGATATTGCCTCGTCGATGTCCTCGCACAAATTTGTGTCGGGTAATTTGGAATTTGACACATTCGTGTCTTTGTCGGTTTTCTGTCGTGGCATCAGCTCGTTAACCATTGTTTCCTCTTCCTCGTCGCTCTCAGAAATCAAAGATTCAAATTCATTGCGCCTTTGGTATAGAAAAAATAAAAGTAGAAAGAAAAATGAGAAAAAAATGAGAAATGATAGAACGAAATATTAAGCACGCGTAATAATACGTGTACGTACACTAGAGTGCTCGATGGTATGGTTCTACGGGTAATTTTAGATTCCCTGCTCGACGAACACGTACTTATACGTTGACGATTCGTTTCATCGAAATTGGATGATTTTATTTTATCGCAATTATCCATCGGAATAGAAAATGTAAACGATTCGCGCATCGATTAGGACACCGTGGATCCACCATTACCGAATTTAACGCGCATGCGCGTAGATGAATTGGCAAGAATTCGTATCGAAGAATTCCTGTTTAGAATCAAGAACGTGACGAATAGATAAATAGGGAAAACAATAATGATCGAATGGAAAACAAGATATTAGTTTTATTTTATTATATTACATACATATATACACCGTGTTATATACATATATATAATAACAATAATATACGTATATATAAAATGATAGTAGGGAAAAGAAGAAGTTTCGCGATACAAAAGAGAGAAACTTTCTTTTCGAGAAAGAAATTAACTCGGAATGGGTGGAGTTGGACAAGGATTGTAAAAAATTGGCCTATACGTTTTTCGTTTCGTGAACGGTTGTAATCCACTTATCGGTGTAAATTGATGCGCAGTAGGATTCTTCGGATGTTCGGTTGGTTCGATCAGCTGGGACAAATCTTCCTTAGATGTCGCTACGTCCGCGCTTCGTGCAGGACTGGTGGACCTGTTCGTTCAACGTTCGTTCGTTGTTGTTCGTCTTCGTTCCACGCTTGTCTGGCTCTTGGATATAGGAATTGAAAGAATTGCGATTCGACGATTCGTGTTCACGTTAAAGTTTAAGTATTTTTCGTTCTTTCTTTTTATCGAAGAAACGCGAAGACGCGAGATGTATTTATTTCTCTTTCTTTTTTGAAACGAATTGTCAATTCGCTGAATTCTCGTGGTATCGAGGTATCCATGCACAATTAACTTAGCTTTAAAGTGAAGCGTTGTTAGATGACTAGAGGCGTTAGGATTAACATTTCTACGTTCATGCCCGGATTAAAACCTGCACGAAATGAAAAATAGATATATAGGCGACGATCAACGATCGCGAAGCGGGAACAAATTACGAAATTACAAGCGTGAACGAAGGGAATGGAATGGGAATCGGTTTCGGTATAAATTTCATTTACAATTTTCTAGGATGTTATCGCGAAATCTTACCTAGGCCGATGAGATTTTATCTTGATCCCGTTCTCCCTGGAGTGCGGCCTCGTGTTTGGTTGCGAAAGTTCGCTATCGCTACTCGCGAAAGAAGTTCTAGTTACCATTGTACCGTGCGCGAAATCTTTCCTATCGAGAAAAAAATTCGAGAATGGAGAGAAAGAAGAAGAGAGTAAATATCGATCTCGGACGCTGTTGCATAATAATAGGCGCGATAAATTCCAGCTCACCTATAATTATCCGACTTTGGAGTGGAATTGGACACGACAGGTGGCTTGCCGGAATGAAGATTCGCGTGGACGAAAACGGGCGAGCTTTTGGGAATATCGCAAACGATCTTGGGATGAACGGTGGTTTGCTTGTGATCCGAATGATTGGCGGTATCCGGTGGCCAATCGTAATACTTTGGACGATAGCCTTTGGAATCGGGACGAGGTTGCTTGGCCAGTTCTGCCGTGTCACCGCGTTTACCGGTGCTCGTGATTATCGGCGGATTCCCGTTCGGCAACGAAGTGGGGGAAGATGCGGTGGAGGAAGGCGCGCCGTCCGGATCCGCGCGAGACAACTGCGAACCGTCCCAATCCGGCGGGGTTGGCAAGCTGCTACGAGGACGAGATATCGAGTTACAGCGCGAAACAAACACAGAAAACGTATAGTATATCGGTGGGAATATACGTACTTGAAATTCTCTTCCATTTCTTTGAACAGGCGCAACTGTTGTCTGATACTCGCCTTCTCCTTCGCGCGTTTCCGTTGAAACTCTTCCTCCACTTTTCGCATCGCCTCCAGTTCACCCTTCCTTTGACGCTCCTTCGCCTCGGCCTCCCTCGACAATTTTTCCGCCAATCGCCGCCTCTCTATCTGCCTCACCGTCGACTGAAACGTGAATCTTTTCCCCCGCGAATTACTCTTCCGTTGCGACTTCGTTTCATTCGCGTCGCAGACCCATGGGACCCGCGGGGAAGGATTATCGTTGGTAGATGACGGCGAGAACGTTCTCCTTTGTTTCGGTGGTTCGGGACAAGTGGAGAACTCGTTCCGTTCCCTGCAACCATTCTCGTCGACACGATGATTCTTCAAACTTTTATCCACCTCGCGTCGTCGATTCGAAACATCCTCGATCTCGTCCCTGCGCTTCTCCTTACGCCTCTTCGCCTCTTCGCAACCGTCCTTATCCTTGCACTCCTTGCACGAGCTCAATCGGAAAGAGGCGGCAATCTCGCGTTCCATCGATTCCCCGTTATTTAATTTCCGCCTCGTTACGCCACCTTCTTCCCCGATCTTTCTACCGTTCAAATTTTGCACTCGATGTTCCGTTTCGTTCGTTTCCGGTAGATACATAACGTGGCCGCCGGGTGTCAAGTACGAGAACGACGGAGGTTTCATGATTACCGGGAAGTCGTTTTCCTTCGCTTTGTCGCCGTTCGATCGCGCTTCGTCTTCGTCGTCTCGCCTCTTCTTCGACGACTCACGATCGCGCGCGACATTCTCGTCGTCCTCCTCGTCTTCATCCTCCTCGTCTTCGTCGTCCTCGTCCTCGTCCTCGTCCTCCTCGTCGTCATCGTCGTCTTCGTCGCCGTCGTTGTCTTCGTTCTCGCTGTCGCACGGGCACGCGGCCGGAACGCGGCGATGGGGGAAGGGGCGACAAACGGTGGGAGAGATTGGCGCGGTTTCGAGGCGAAGACGAGAGTGTTGGAGGGAGGTGGGCGCGCTGGTGGACAAGAGCCAATTGTCGTCGAGAGTGTTGTTATATTTCCTGTGGGCGGTGTGATCGTGCGATCCGATCCCCAGCGCCCCGGACACGGATCGTTTCAATTTTTGAAGGGAGTTGAAGGCGAACGCGTCCCTGGTCTTTGTCTCGGGCGGGCAGAGGCACATCGAGGCCCTCGCTTCGTCCCTGGGCAACGAGAGGGAGAACACGTGACCCCGCGGGGAACGATACTTCATGGGTGCGGATAGGGGTGGGGGGGAATCGACGCCTGCGTCGCTGCTCGATTCCTCTCCCAAATCCTGCTGCGGGGTCCAAGTCGGCCTGGTCACCGTGGTCTTAGCTCTGTTGATCGTGCTCACGTCGAAAGAGTCTTCGTTACCGGCCCCGGCATCCCCCGATATCCCGGAATCACCGGACTTGTCGTGCCAGCTTCGAGCTCCCAACGAGAGTGGGAAAAGCGGGGGCGGCCTCGAGAGTCGTTCTATCCGTTCCTCGAACATCACCTGCAACGAATCGATCCATCATGGATAACATTTAACCATGTAAAGGAAGAAGGAAAAATATAGAGAGATAGATAGATATTGGATTGCTTGTAGGAGAGTAATTTCGTTTTTTCTTTTCACGACAATGAAACACACTTTTTTAACGTGTGATCGTGAACAGTCGAATTCGATCCCGTAGCAATTTCACGAGTTGTTCGTCGGTTGCTTCAATCGAATGTCTTTATTTCGTCTTCATCGGGTCTTCGACCGGTCTTTCAGAACGTGGCGCATCTTTAACGTCAAAATTGTCGGAACGAAATTTTGAAAACCACACTGGCGCGCGGTTAATACATCTTTTTCATAAACTTCGCGTAACTTTTTTCTTGCATTCTGAACAGCATTCTTATCTTTTCCGTAATAAAAAAAGTAAAATATGCCGAAAATGATCCTTTTGGTCTTGCATCTTTGTTACCGTGCACGAAAAACACAACTGCGCAAAGAATCGGACGAATTTTTTTTATAAATAAACCATGAAATATAAACTCTCAAAATATAACACGGTTTAAAATGAAGTTTGCTGGATAAATGTTCAACCAGCGACACTAGTGTCGAGAAAACGAAATTATTTTCCAAACAACCCAATAATTTCTACTCTAGTATGAAGTTGGCTGGATAAACGTTCAACTAGCGACACTCGTGTGAAAAAACGAAATTACTTTCCGAACCTGATAGATAGATAGATAGAGATGGAGAGAGAAAGAGAGGGGATTTCAAACCGGCATTTCTTCGCTGGCAGTGCTCATGCTCGGACCCGGAGTTTCCAACGTAGAAAGCAATCTCCAGGCAGCGGATGGCGAGAATCGCGGGATTTCCAATTGTTTTTTCGGCAGGGTTGGCCGCAACTTCAACGAAATATTCTCCACGACGTTTTTCTCCTGAAAACGAAGGATTCGATTGATCGAATCGATCGAAACGAAAGACAACAGATGAACAACTCACGTCCTCGTCCGCGTCGTCGAGAATCCCGTCCATGGAAGCTCTGCCGTCTCCACGATCGCGGTCCTCGTCGTTGCGCGATTCGCCCAGGAAACGTTCGTTCATGCCGAAGTAGAAAGTAGTTTTTGGCGTTACGGGTTGCGCTGTGATGGAGGCAAATCTAATCGGGGATCCGAGTAAGTACGATAAGTACGAGAGTGAGAAAATTCGTGGACTGGAAAAGAACGATGATGAAAAAGAAACGACGACTTACGCTTCGTCCTGTCCTCCTCCTCCTCCTCCTCCTCCTCCTCCTGATGATCGTTCGTTCGAAACGGAATTACCGTCCTTCTCGCGATCGATCGACCGTGGCGAGCTTCGAACCGTCAGAATCCGAGTTCTCGTCCCGAAATTGATCCCGTTGCGATTCCATCTCGCGTCTCGCGAAACGATCCCTCGACCTTGGCCCCTGCGCGCATGCCTCCTCCCCGCCCTCCCGATCCTCCTTGCCGCGTTCGTTCTGGTTACTACGCCGATTATTACCGCTCGGCCGAGAAGCGGGCAGTTTTCGATCGTATCGGGTGTCGCGGATCGACCCGTCCGTCAATTTCCCGCTCGAGTCCAACTTGTCGCGCACCTTTTTAGCGACTCGAATCAACTCGGCTTGGAATTCCGGATTGCTGACGCTTCTTTGAAGCGTGTTGCCCTTCCCGTGGTGGTGATGATGCTCGGCGAGGTGGGAGCGTCGGGGCGGAATACGACGGTGGTCGCGCTCGACGCTCGCCTCGGTCGCGGCGAGCTCGTTGTCGGAACGCGAGCCGCCGTTCATCGAGGTGAGGTCGCGCGTGTCGGCGGGCGATAACTGCCAACCGATCTGCGCCCTCTTCGATTCGGCACGGGTCTTGAACAATCGAGATCTTCGGGGCGGTGGTTCGACTTTGGTCCGATTCGTCGATTGGTCGTCGCGCGGTCGATGCTCGGCTCGGGAGTGGGCAGAGAGGCGTGGGTCGAGGTTTCGGCTCGGGGGGCGAGAGTTTTCGGCCGCGGGCGAGGAGTTGGCGCGGAGACGGGGGGAGGCGGGCGGAGCGGGAGCTTTATACTTTTTCCTAGCCTTGGAGCATGCGCTCTCCGCGAGCCGTTCCCTCGACTCTTTGCCGTGGTAGCGGTGGTGGCGCGACGCTTCCGCTTCCACGGCTGCTGCTCTTTCCATCGTGGAGGCCTCGACGAGGTCGGGTGTGGAGCGAAGATCGGGCTCGCTGCCGAACCTCTTCGGGTCGAGGGTGGCCGCGCTCGCGTCGATCGAGTGGTCGCGACTCGATCGATAATAGTGGCGGTCGATTCGTCTGGAGCAGGGTCGGACGAGGTTCGAGGCGGAGCCGCTCCTCTCTCGAAGGAACGACGGAGGCGGATGATCGTTGCGCTGGAACGAGAGACGAGAGATGAAGGGAATCCGCTTTCCCGCGAGTTTTCGCCTCGCCTCCTTACTCACGGACACCCTTTACCTTGGCGAGATCGCGGGACGAGGCGAAGGTCGGCGGTCTGCGGCCGCTAATCGTTCCACCGTTGTGTATGATGCTCCCGTTGTCGGTCGCGCGCAGCCTTTGACCCGGCGGCTCGGGAAGAACTTTCCGCGCGGCGCTCGGCTGCGACCTGTGTCTCGTCAACTCTCGAGGGAACGATTGGGACCATCCGTGATGGCCGTTCGTTCCGTCCACGTTCGCCACCCCGTTCGAGCACACGGATCCGACCTGTTGATCCCTGTTCGAGCTGCTTCCATTGTTGCCCATCTTGACGCGAGCCTGCCCGATCACTACGGATGATATCTCGACCGATCCTCCATCTTCTGTGAAAAAGAAAGAAAGAAAGAAAGAAAGAAACACGATTTTTCACGATTTTAACGATAGTTTTAGGGTAGATAAAAGTAGTTCGTTTCGAGGCGGGAATTCGAGGGGCGCAGCTGCCAAAGGCGCGAAGGAAACGCTCGTTGCCCGCGGAAGCGAATCGAGCAAAGCGAAGAGCAACAACCACGCTCGATACCAACGATAACGGTTTTGCCTAACGGGTTCGAATCGGTCCGAGTTCGAATAAATCGACCGGCCAACGAACGATAGATTACGCGTGTGTTCAAGTATCGCGGTCGAATTTATGCAGTAACGAGAAATGCGGATAAATCGTTCCGAACTCGTTGCGCAATATCGAAGAGAAAGCTTCACCGTCGATCGTCACGCTTCTTTGACCTTCGTTCGTTCGTTCGTTCGTTCATTGGTGGTCATCTATATTCGAGATGATAAAGATGTTTGCTAACTTTCGCGAGATCGTACGATAATATTAATCTAATTTGTGAAAAGTAGAGAGAGAGAGAGAGAGAGAGAGAGAGAGAGAGAGATGAAATCGGATCGAGGTCGCGGTCCACGCGCGAAAAAGAAAGTCTTCCCTTAGGAGAACGCGGACAAGTTCGATCTGGTATATCCGGTGAGAGCGGACAAGCCGCGATAACTGTCAGCCCGTACGCGTCTGCGTTCTCTCTTCGCTTTCGAAGCCGCGAACGTGTTTCATGACCGAAATTCGATCATCGCGCGCGAAGAATTCACGAAGAGAAAGAAAGAACGAATCGATTCGCCTGTCTTTTCGGATAGCATTCTCTCCTCTATATTTTTAATTTGTACATAAGCTTACGAAGATGAAGGAAAGGATAAAGAAAACTCGAATACGGTAAAATTCGTTCGTTTACTCGTAGACCGCGATAGGCCGATTAATCGTGGATCGTTAGCTCTGTTCACGAAACGCGCGAATCATTTTTCGATAGTTGCGCGATCTTAAGATCGACCTCAAGAGTCAGATAAGAAATAAATCGAGAGAATGAAGAGAGGAACGAGAGCAAATGCCCGAAACGTTATCCAAGAACGAAGGCGAGTTCCACGGAAAGAGAGCGAACAAAACGCATAACCGGTTATCGTTTGAGTTGGCCGGACGTTGGTAAGTCTTGTCGTTTTACGCTCCTAGTTCGAACTCACGTTTCGTATCGAAATTCGAAAGAAAATTCTATGAAAACCCGATTATTTCGATTGTGCATAATTTTGGAAAGATGGTGATTAATCGGGAGGAACGGAAAAAATCGAAGAGAAGAGGCTACGGATTAGGAGATGTACGAGAGAACGGTAGGATATCGAGAATAAATACGGATGTATTTTATTCGCGAGGCATCTAGGTCAGTCTCAGTCGCGCAAGTGCAGTGTGCCGCACCTATTCCATTCGCACCTGTGCGCATGCGTGTTGGCTGGTAAGAGCGTAAAAACTTCGTTGATCGTCGGATTCGATGGAGCGAACGAACCAGACGAAGAAAGAACGGGCGAAAGAACGCTAGCGAAAGAGAAAAAAACTACATCGTTCGGAATTATTTTCTCAGCATCGTTTCCCAGGAATTTTGGTATGCGGAAGGAAAGCTACGTAGCAAGGTTCGCAGACCGATTGAGCGAAAGGTGGAGAAAAGAGAAGGGACGGAACGGCGTGTGTGCGTATACTTTATCTATATGGTAGAGGCAACCGAGCGATGTGGTACATACTTACTTATACCGGTAAAGAGAGAGCTAGTTGCATGCCAGAGTACGAAAGGAGGGAATAGGAAGGGAGATAGAGGTAGAGGTAGAAGTGTAGAGAGAGAGAGAGAGAGAGAGAGAGAGGAGAGAAGAA